TACTAGTACTAGTACTAGTACTGCTCTGCTACTTCTTCTGCTGCCATTACACCATTCCTTCTTATATCCTTAACCTGCAATTATTCGCAATTACACTTACTAGATGGTTACTCTCGCACATGCAGGCGGCTGCAGCTCGTTATTCCCACTCTCAAAGTGGTGCCTTGGCTGTCACTCAAGGTCTGTGAGCTATGTAGAGTGTAAAACTCCTTACAGCGGGTCATATAGGGATTCTAACTTGGATTATCATAAGGGTTGTAAGGGATATACGATGAGTTTAGACTATGGCTCNNTATGGTCTTAGGGTTTGGGGTTCCGTGTCATCAAGGGTGTGTGAAAAAAGGTTTTGGGTGTTTCCAAAAATGGGAGTCTCCTTGAAGTTCTTTCTAATCATCCACATGCCATCATGATCGTTTCGTGACCCCCAAAAGAGGATGCCGAATCTTCTCAAACCTGACTTCAGGGTCCTGTCTATGTCGGCCAATAGCTTGTTGAGAATGGCACATTCCAAGGAGAAACAAATCGGCAAGGGAATCGTACGGTCTACCCCACGAGCTAACCTTGCGATCCTACCTGCCCTCCACTCCCAATATCTGACTCATCGTTCAGTTTGTCTTCAGCTGTGCTACAATCCAGTCTCAGATCTAAGAAAATAGGACGTTCAACCCAAGTGGGTTTAAACAACTAGAGGCCTCTTTCTTAGATCCCTATGATAAGTATGTTGGGGTCCACTGTTCATGGAAACCCCCAGACTCTTCACCCAAGAGTCCCCAAGAACCCTCCTGCATCGCGAAGTTTTCACTTGGCGAGGATTTCAAATTAGGATAATACAGCCCTCAAATTCGAATAAGCTCACATCCTTCTTTGCAGTCCTGTTTAAGAAGCATACAATCGCACCCCGCTCCACCACCAAAGTTAACACTACTCACTTTGGAGCCCAAGGCAGACCCTGAACCCCTCAACCCCAAACCCTAAACCCTCAATCCTAAACCCTGAGCCCTAAACCCTAAACCCTAAACCCCAAACCCTAAACCCTAGCCCTATACCCTGAACCCTAACCCTAAATCACTTTGGAGC